AAATTAACCGTTCGCGAGCATAGAAGTGACTTCTTTTTATTAAAGGCGACACGACCCTGCGCTATCCTCTGCTTTATATCCCTACTACTCCTTCCGTCCTGACTTATCTGACTTCCTAGATATCTAAAATCAGCCACTTCTTCTAATTTTTCGTCTCCTATCTTTATATTCGCTCTTTCCCTACTTTTTCTTCCCTTGCATACCAATTTTTTTGTTTTACTTGTCATAAACACCATTAATTTATGGGCGCAAGAAGTAATTCATAATTAATCTAATTAAATATGTCCAGTTTGTAATAATCATGTTCAGTAATTCATACGCTTCCTGACGGTAACTCTCCTGCTTTATCGTCCGTTCAATGCTAACAAGTACCGCCCTTGGGAAGCAAAGAAATGATTAATGGACTGGTTATATGTGCATCGCCCTTGACTTGAATAACAGACGACAGAGATGTCCCTTAAATTAACGATAGTGCCAAGAGTGTACACAAGTAATTTTTATAATCTTCTTTCAGTAAATAATTTGAGTTGACATATTTTATATTACCGGAAGTGAATTGCAGAAATAATGAATGTTTAAGGAAGCAGTACCTTATGCAAGCTAATAAATAAAATCAAGGGAAATACCTATTTGTGACCGATTTTTAAGTAGTCCAATAAATTTTATACTAATCATTAATAATTAAAACTTTCCAACGATCTAACAGAATTAAATTTTAAGTACCTAATCTCGTTTTATAAAAAATAAAATTTAACTCGATTTTTGGTAATAAATTTTCATAGTAGATAAATTTATGACAATATTTCTCATACCTCAGCCATTTTCTTTTCTAAATTAAATTATTTCTGATTTTTATTGAACCCGAATGCAGATGTAGACATTTCTTTAAGACTTATCTAAATCTCATTCTTAAGGAACCACCATACTGAATTTTAATAAAATTCGTCCCTTTCTTAGAGCATGAAAACGTTTCAAATAACCCAAAATCTTGAAAACTGTCACTGTGGCTTTTTCTTTCTCTTGCCATATGTCTTGATGCTTTATCTAAAGGATTTAAATATGTAAAAAGAGCACTTTACAAACACTCTTTTGACCTATATACCTGCGACTAGGTAGTACAAGGATTTGAAAAACTGTATAAAATACATTATTGTAAGAAATGTTTGTTTGTTATTTATTTAAACAAATTAATATGTCCCTAAGTGTATCAATAATCAAATGATATCTTTTCGTTCCTTATGAGCTTCTAATGAACAATTTAGATCAATCGCCCCGTATATTACGATCATTCTAAAAATAAAGGATAATAGTAGCTAATAACAGAAATTTGTGGCACACGCAGACCATTTTCTTCCTCCTGAGACGCAAAACCTTTAACCAAAATATTCGGCTCTTTATAACTTCCCAACCATTTTTCATAATTTGCTTGCTTTCAGCTTCGTCCTTAGGGAGGCAGTTCTGCTTACCTTTTAGTACTGTTTCTAAACTATAAGGATTTAATACGTGGTATATAATTGTAAAAGGGTTACAATTGGGATTTGCCTTTACCCAAAAACATTGTCCAAATTTTTGTATTATAACATGTTTTAATAAGGTAATTTGTTTGTTATGACGGGTTTATTTAAAGCTAATAGTTCTATAACTATACAAATATTATTCAACACAAGTTTATAATTAATACACTCTAGGCAAAAATNAGTTGATTATATTTTTTGATGATATATAGAATCTGTGTACGGATACATAACTAAATCTTTTTTATATATTATTATACAGATCGGTAAGTAATTAGTAATTTTACGTTTACCGTATTCATAGTTTCATTTGATTTAGATACGCGACATTGATGTTTTTGCGATCTCTATTTTCCTCTTGTTTCTATTTTCTTCAATCGTATCAAACGTACGAGTTATTGCATTTGAAAACATAGGTACATAAGTCACTTGAGGCTTCATGACAGACACAAAAAGTGAAAAAAAGTGAAAAAAGAAGGATATGATTTTATTGTACCAAAGGTATACGTATTTAGTCTGAGTTACAAATTGGAAAAGAATATCTTCAATTTGTAAACGTATGCGATGAGTGTTTGTGAAGTAACAAAAGAATAAAATTCAATTGTTGATTCTCTATTTCAAAGACAACCTGTAATTTATCCGAAGAAAACAATTTGACTTTAATCCTGTTTCTAGCGACTTCTTGCTTCTCGTTATTAATTCTATCGTTCAGTGAACTTCAGCTGAAATAGCTGAAGTTCTTCTCGAACATTACGCGAACGTGCACCCTTGCTATAATGTACGTATATATCGAGTTCCTGTCTTACGTTCTACGTGCGGCAAATAGTCGTTCTTTATTGGGATTACGCCTTGGGGACGCATTCGAATTTTCGATTAGCTGTCGTCAACCTTTAGTCAATTAAACATTCTGGCGTTGACATAAAATAACCTCTCCTTCTTACTTCGACTTTTGCTATAGATAAAAAAAAGCCTCTTCTTCGGTTTAGGTATTAAAACTGGACAAGATTGAAAAGGTTTTTTATATTGAGATGCATATATATATGGTACAGAGAAATTTACGTTATTTGCCGAACATTTTAAAGTAAATAGCGAAATAACACACTATTTAAGATAGTTTTTTTATTTTTATTTGTGAAAATTAGTCGGGCAGCTTACACAATTTGCAATTGTCTTTAATTGTAACGCGAGATAAAAATGTTCAGTCTCTCAGAGTCTTTCAGCGTCTCTGAGAGCGTCTCTCACAGTCTTTCGTAGTCTATCAGTTATTGCCTAGGTGTTTTTATGGATCTCTCACAGTCTCTGTATGAGAAACTCGAACGATAAAATTGTTAATTCAGAGATTCGAGTCTCTCACAGAGAGACAGAGATCTTTGAAATATGTTGAACTTAGAAAATTTTAACCATGGTTATCGAGACACCACTTATTGAGAGATTGGAGTCTCTCGTTCAGAGACTGGATACGAAATGAGGATCTCTCTATCAGCGACTTGAGACTTTCGTTCAGAGACGCTAAGCAGTTTTTTTGACAGTTTCTCGGCAGTCTCTCTCAGCCATACCAGAGAGACTCGATGAGAGACGGAGACTCGAGTCTCGCTTTCAAAGACTCGGAGAGACTGAATATTTTTATCTCGGGGATACAAAACGACAGTCGCAAATAAAAGAATAACGAAATTCGTAGCAAAGCAACATCATGCAAATTGATATTTCTCTTTAATTTTGGATTGTTACTGACAAAAGTCATCTTTGATTATGTATTTGCGTAACTAGGTACTTGTTTGCTTATTATCTGCGACAAAATTATACATAAGATAAAACGAAAAGTTGTAGTCAGGTTACAAAGTCTGCAAATTATTTTCTGTAACAAGCATAACTCAATTTTACTCCACAACTACTAAAAAGCAAGTCTTGTTTTCCATTGCAGGCTTTATTATTTAATGAAAGTGGCATTATACACTGGGTTAAGTCTTTTTTATAAAATCAGCAGCAGTCTTATCTTCATTGTCTCCAAACACCTTGCAATTATCAGATTTCCCAAAGCTTCCATCACATTTTGCAATGGAATTGTCGATGGGGTTTAAGTACAGAAATCGAGCTATCCATAAGTTTAATTCACCCCGATCAATCGAGTTTAATTAAACAGTTTTTTTTTCAGTATTTTGTCCAAATATACATCCTATATCAGCATCATATTTTTTAAAAAATAACTGGCGTACCGAAATGGAAAAGGCCGGAAATTGACCGACCCATATATTTATGATTGAAAAATCATTAGAGCGTTGAAATATTCCTTCTGAATGGCACCAATTGAAATTTCTGAGATGCCTATTTACCTCAATATATAGCATTCCGACGGTTAGAGGTATAGGTAAAGAAGAAAGACCATTAATCAGTACCTAAGAAAAAGCTTTTTAAAACCCATTTTCAGTTAGATATACAATATGGAATTTACATACTTATAGAGTTACTATTGAGTTACAGAGAAATAGAATTAAGATAGCGTCGCAAAAATTGTGTATTCATGAAGATACAAATTTAATTCATCAATCTATAACCGCAAAATTATACAGCAAAGACTATGCTATAGTATACACAGTGTGTAGACATTTACGTAACCTTCTAATCAATTATTTTTCCAATGAGTATAGTGAACTGATACTGTCCTGAACCGGGTCTAAAGACCGTCGGTGGTTGGAGATGTTTCCTAACGTTTTGCTGGTACGAGTAGCGGCTTCTTCAGAGTTCCTTCTATCTCCATTGCAACTCCAACCGACGACGGTCTTTAGTTCACCTTCTGACCGCAAAAGTTTTTATCAATTAACCATAACCTTTAGACATCACATTACTGAGTTTTCTTACCTGAAAGGGAAGCCACAAAATAATGAAAAGGCCGGAGGTAAGGGCCAGTGCAAATCCGTATCGGGGAGATGTTATAGTTGAATGGTTATGACAAAGGCTCTGTCGGACTTCGAAGATGGCTCTGGCGTGGCCTCTTGCTACGACATAGACATAACCGTAGCAGGTCAATAGCACCAGGGCGCTTGGACCGTCCTAGGTAATAACTGAGAGACTGTGAAAGACTGTGAATGACGCTCTCAAAGACACTGAAAGATTCTGAGAGACTGAAAATTTTTGTCTAAGGAAGGTGCTTAATTTAATGAGAGATATAGAGTAACTTTAGTTATAATTTACATTTTACGTCCTATGAGAAGATAATTTGTATTTGTGTTGTATTTAAAGCTCTAAGAAGGGTTAGGAAACTCATAAGCTTCTACCTTAGGATTTAATGAAGTAGACTACCTAAAGAGTAATCCAGTACCCAATTTGTTATTCAAGGTTATTGCGTAAAAGCTACAACTAAGGCTTCAAACGAACAGAAAGGTGAATAAATTCTATTTGTATTTTGTTTCGAATAAAATTGAAAATTCTGAGCGTATACTAAAATGGATATAGTTGGGACGTTCCAAATTGACATAGTCCGCAATAAAACTGTCGCATTTACTTTCTTTTTTTAATAACCGAACGTCTACTTTTACTCATGACAGTCGTTGTAGGGAATATCATAAGCATTAAAAAGAGATGCCAAGTAGAAATTGCAGCGGGCGCTAGTAAAGAAAAAGGAATAACATTACACCAATTAATGTGTAACAAAAAGAGATTCATACGAGAAGACTTGAGCATGTTGCCAGAGTCGGACTTTAAAGAAAGTTCAACATTCTCAGGAATATTGGAAAGCATTGACTTTTTTTGAAAGATATAATTCCAACCAGGCAGTTATAGAGCCGGCCCTGATTTTTTACGTACCTAAGCAACCTCTAACCGCTGCACCGCTTGCTATTATTCGATTTTCTCTTTTCATTTTGTCTGTACTACTCATGAAGTATTTCCTAACTTAACAAGGGTGTGTTCTCACAGATAATTTTTTGCGGACTTTGCCAATTTTAATCGTTACAGCTATAGATACTGTAACCGGCTTCATTTTTCGATAAGTGTTATACGTATAAATACAGCAAAGTTATTAATTTTTTAGAAAGATAATTAGCTACAACTTNCCGTATCGGGGAGATGTTATAGTTGAATGGTTATGACAAAGGCTCTGTCGGACTTCGAAGATGGCTCTGGCGTGGCCTCTTGCTACGACATAGACATAACCGTAGCAGGTCAATAGCACCAGGGCGCTTGGACCGTAGACAGCACAGAACATGAACAATTGCACAGGTCTAGCCACTATGGCTCCAAACGAACACTTTCCCACGCTGAAAAACAAAAAGGAAAAGTAAATTTATGAAACGAACGTAGATCGTGGGTATAATATCTATTGTCCCTTGAAAAAGAACAAACAATACATTACTGGGTTTATTCCGAAAACAGCTGCGAAAACATCACCATGTTATATTTTTATTTATTTGGGACCTGTCTACAGAAACACAACATATCACTCAAGTTTAATCCTTTTTATTGACTGACTGACAAATACAAACTTCTAAACTTTCTCTTCTTAAGTCAATTTTCTTCTTCACAAGTCAATTTTCAACCTCCAGATTTCACCTATATGTGTATAGTACCATGTAGCTTAAAAGCTCATCATTCATTTAGCTTTCGAAATATCTAAATTGCCCCGCAACAATAAATCTACACAAAGGATTTTCACTAATATATTACCGGTTGTCCTCTAGATATTCATACGTATCTGTACGCAGCAGGAATTTAAGGATTAATTTTGTAACATAGTTTCTGCTACATGATAATTTCTGCCAAAACTTACATCACACTAAACCGTTACCCCGTAGAAATGATTTCCAGTGAACTTCAATGGGAATCAATGGAAAATTTGTAAATTCCATTCAAAACCATCTGACATAAGTGGAAAAATAATTGTTTCCATTTACNACTAAATTTTCTTGAAGCCTTGGTGTTTTACTACTTTACACTTAACTTTTATTGTAATATCCTGTAAAGGACTATTATTTATAGGTTGTAAATCAAAGAAAGCGATAACGTAATGTTAATAATCTAGCAATTATACGAAAAGTAATTTACAAAAAGCAATTTTATAATAATGAGTGGATACTTTTGCTGATACGTTTTCTTCATTAATAGGTATAATTTAAAACCCTTTCGTCAGTTTTGTAGCTCCGTCTTATTGTTGATTGCCCATTGTATTATCTACCATTGCATCTGCATTTAACCCTACATGGCGTCCACGTTACCAACTGGTACCACATTAAGACCCACAGGAAAAATCGGAAATTCCTTGTATCTACTTACATAGTAGATGACGTTTGACGGTCATTTCGTGATTTAAAATAGTACCTATGCAATTTTCTCAAGGAGACACGTAACGAGCAATAGGTACTTATTCAATAAAAGGAAATAATATTGTACAGAGGTCAAAAATAATAAAATTACTTTGCTTCTAAGTCATTATATTTCGCATCGCATTTGGTGGTTATACCAAGATCCAGATTTTAAAAAATTTTAGAAACTTCCTTCCTTCAAAATTAACTTTAATCTTTTAGTGCCACGAGTGAGCTCGGGTGGGTCTAATAACTAATAATAATTTTCTATATTTAACATTAAAGGTATTACTTTTCAAGTATTCATACGATTAAAATTACCATGAAGTACCTAAATACCTGCGGCATATACAGTGGTTAAGATTATATTATATTTTCATACTTGTACTGTTTTGTAGTTCATTCGTAATTCCCTTAGGAAAATGTAGGGCAATCTAACATTTACAGTGAAAGACGGGATATTAATTTTTAAAATTCATCTCTCGCTCGAGTATATGCTTTTGATGTAACAATATAACGTGCATTGCCCTCACAGCATTTCTGTAACTGGATGTAGAAACGGCTCAAGTTAAATTGAAAAAGGAATTTTATATCTACGTATATTTTATGTACAAGAAGCTATGTTGTAAAATAGAAGCCCTAGATAAAAATGTTCAGTCTCTCAGAGTCTCTGAACGCGAGACTCGAGTCTCCGTCTCTCATCGAGTCTCTCTGGTGTTGCTGAGAGAGACTTTCGAGAGACTGTCAAAAAACTTTTTAGCGTCTTTCAACGAAAGACTCGAGTCGCTCATAGAGAGATCCTCATTTCGTATTTAGTCTCTGAACGAGAGACTCGAATCTTTCAATAAGTGGTGTCTCGATAGACATGGTTAAAATTTTCTAAGTTCAACATATTTCAGAGATCCCAGTCTCGAGTCTCTCAATGTTTCAGTTTTATTAATTCAGTCTCTCTGTAAGAGACTGGAATCTCTGAATTAATACTTTTATCGTTCGAGTCTCTCATACAGAGACTGTGAGAGATCCATAAAAACACCTAGGCAATAATTGAGAGACTGTCAAAAACTGTGAGAGATGCTCTCGGAGACACTGAAAGACTCTGAGAGACTGAAAATTTTTGTCTAGGGAGGTTAGAAATATCTTTGAAATACTATTGGTTGTTGTGTAGTAAAAAGTTGTTCTAAGCTGTAACCAATTCAGTCCCCAATAATAATCCAAGTTCAAATTCCTAAATTTATTCTTTATTGGCATCATTTTTTTTTACTTTTTGTGGACTTGAACCAACATTTTGGAGGCTATCAAAATCACAGTTTATAGACGTATGTTATTAGCACGCCTATCACAGAAAAAATTAAAAAAAAAAAGAATAGTCCATGGTACGCTACGATATTATTCCACGTTTAACATTTCCATAACAATTACATCAGGTGTTTCATCTATAAGTTGCATGCATTATTAAAAAGTGTGCCGAAGGTGAACCGTATTACAATTGTGTGTTACTAGGTTACTGTGATTGATTTTTGCATTTTAATAAGGAAGTATAATGTATTGGGATAAGAAATGAAATTGTTCTTAGACTGTGAAGCTCATGATATTCTAGAAATACTGGTAATAATTTATAGAAGTCAAACATTTCAGTAGGTATTTTAATTCTTAATAAACTACCTTTATTAAGAATAAATACTACTATCAATTAATTATTGATTATGCAATTCACACGAATCAACGAGAACAACTAGAAACATTCGTGTTTAACTTCAAATGTCTTCATGCACCAGATTTTGTCCAATTTTAATTTTATCATCTTTCTATTAAAATAGTAATCTTTGTCTATGATCATGAAGTGAAATAAGTTTAAACATTTCAGGAAGTTAATATTTATATCACACCTTTTACCTTAGTTACCTAATACCACATCTAAAAAAAGTCTTTCGGCGCGAAAATAAACTTTTAGTAGTAAGAATTAATTTTCGAAACGAAAGAGCATTATTTAGAAATTTAAATTTTAAAAGATCGATGAAAATCCTGAAGAATAAAGTGAATGATGCTGAAATAAAAAATTCTGCAAGTAATCCCTTCACTTCTACATGTTTAACCCTGTTTTATTTCATTACTCAACCATGTAATAATTCAGTTAAGTTGTAAATTGCTCTCTATTACAATAGTTTTTCCTTTCTAAAAATATGTAGGAAGGATCCCAAAGAGCAGCGATTACAAAAACCGAACGGTTATTCAAATCTTAACTACAACAATAACTACAATGCTGTCCTATCTTTTTGTAGTCTTGGCATCAGGAAACTCGACAATTATTTGCATTCAACTCCCGTCGACAACTTGGAAGATAGCACGTGCTTTGTTTAGACATCGTACTCTAAATGTCAGATCCACATTATACGAGGAATGTGTTTCCTCTTTTGAGTTCATGTGTGCTTGAAATTATCTACGGATTGCATAATTTATACTGTTTGCGAAACTAAAGGTGTAAATTCTTATATACTGGTGATACTCAGCTTTTGAAAAAAAAAATCTTCCGCAGCTCCTTTAAAACATAGATATTAAAATGTGTTTCTCTTTTAACAAATGTTCCGCATATATGGAGTCTTCATTTTCTTTTGATAGTTTCATTTATATTGAAAGATTCTTTGAAAGATCAACCAGTGTCCCACATAAATTTGATTGCAATCATCACACTTCGAGAAATAAAGTCAAAATTTTGATCCTTTAACCGTTTTATCCTTATTCTGTTTAATAAATTTAGATAATGAACACTGTTATTTTACTATAATAAGTTTTCGACTAATTTTAAGGGATATATCGCCAAAGTATGCGATGAAACTGATGAACTTGTTAGATTTAACGTTATTATAGTTAGATGATATATGTTAATCAAAGTTTTCTTTTGGAGTTTTTTCTTAAATAAACCTTGTCTTACAGCTAATCATGCAGAGAAATCATTGTTTATAAAAATAAGGAATATTCTGTTTAATTCTTTTTGAAAATTGGTTTTGCGTAAAGGGAAAAGTTTTTACATAGTTATTACTTCCATGTCATAAACTTCATCATCATAAGGTCGTCAGTCCTAA